CATCCAGTCTCTGGGATGAGCTCTGACCTGAATAGGGACAACTGTCTTCGAGGTGAGGAGCAAGACACTGTACGGAAAACAGAGCTGCCTGTCAGGAGCGGCTGTGTTGCAAAACATATTTTTTGGCTTTGAGGGTGGCCTGCTTAGCCAACCCTGACTATTTCACCATGCTGCGGAGGCTGCCCTGGTATTAATTCACCTCAAAGGACAGGTTGAAGTCATTAAAATATTTTGCAGGTGGTTCCTTGAATTCATGGTGCAGCTGGATCCAGCCTAAAGGGGGGGGAAAAAAGAAAAGGAGGAGAAGAGGTGAGTTCTGATGAAACACAAATTAACATAACTCATAGAAGGGAAAGAAAATCTGTTTTCAATCTCTACAACAAAGACAAGCAACACATCAAGCTAGAAAGGAGAAATGTCAGCCAGGCAGCGCTGGGGATTTTATTGCTTTAGCACAAGTGCTTCTCCGCGGTCCCAGGAGTGCCCAGGTGCTACTGCAGCAGCTGGACCCCCCGAGCACGGCTCTGGGCACGCAGGCACATGGGGGTCTTCACAATAAGGCCTCTGCTCCCATACGAGTCCAGGCTCAAGCTTTGTTTTAATGCCCTGACACAAATCACGGTTGTTTAGATCTTGCGTGTTGGCCTCAGTCTCTCTTCTGCGTGGAAACTCTCCAAGTACCACATTATTTCTTGCCCTTAGAGCTGGATTCATTTTTTTTGAGGGCGTGCTGACCAGAGCTGAGCTGGGCAGTCAGTGGGACACTCACAAGGGAGACCCCAGACCTGGCACCTCCATGAGCTGCTGGTGGGCAGATCACTCACAACCTGCTTCAGCATCCCCTGAATTCAGCAGTGCCTCTCAATGTCCATGGACATCAAGTCCTTGGTCCTTCCTCGGGGAGAACAAGACACTTTAGCACACACACCACCACACTGGAGAGCTCTACTGGGTCTGACTGGGATGGAGGTAACATTCTGCACAGCAGCCTGTATGGTGTTGTGCTTTGAATTTGTGGCTAAAACAGTGTTGATTACACACTGATGCTTTGGCTATTGGTGAGCAACGTCAAGGTTGTGAATAGGCTGGGGTGAGCAAGAGCCCGGAGGGGGACACAGCCGAGGCAGCTGACCCAAACAGTCCACGGCGATATTCCACACCATATGACATCAAGCTAAGAAACAGTAAAAGTTCAAGGGAAGAAGGAGGAAGGGGAGTTGTTTGTGGTTAGGTCATTTGTCAGCCCAAACAACCGCCATGCGTGTAGAAGCCCTGCTTCCCAGGATGTGGCTGCTTATCTGTCTGATGATGGGAAGTAGAGAATTAATTCCTCTTTCTGCTTTGCTCGCAAGTGCAGCTTTTGTTTTCCTTATTAAGCTGTCATCATATCACCCACGAGTCTTCTCACCTTCCTTCTATTTTCTCCCCATCCTTTGGGAGACTGAGTGAGAAGCTGGGTAGGTGTTTGCCTTGGTCAATCCAGCACAAGAGCTGACCAGTGTGTCAAAATTCACCAACCTTGTTCATTCCAAAAGGAGAAAAAGAGTGAAATATCAGGTAAAATAGGCGGAAAAAACCCCCAAACAAACAAGTTAGTTTACAACAAACCTACAACTGCAGAAGCAATTGTACAGTTCTAGTCACTGATGGCTTTGTGGTGTGCTTCTATTAGCTGTGTCCCAGGTCAAACCATGGCTACTTGTTTCTGTGGAGAGCAGTGTGGTCTGTGGGCAGGATTACTTTTTGGTTTTTTGAAGCCCATCTGCAGATACATGAGTGCAGGTGTTGGAATAAGGGGTAGACTGTCACCTTTTCTGGCTGCCACTCTCACTTCAGTCTAGTGGCAACGGCAGAAATGGTGGAGGTTGCCGCCCTGGCTTACCCAACAGGGGACCTGTTTGCGCTGTAAACTCTTCTCTTCCTCGTCCTTGGAGGGGCACCAAAGCTCCCTGAATTCCAGTCATTTATGCCTAAGGCAGTCTGCAATCAAGTAGACAAGTTTGGAAACATTACCATAAGATAAATCGAGAAACATCTCTGAGCTAGGATATCTTCTCATTTGGGAAACCCCCCCCTACTTTAAAAATTCACAAATTCAGTTTTTTCAGGAACAATGCTTGTCCTGAAGAGGCTAACATCTGTCCAAGCTCCCTGGCAGAACCACTGCTGGGAAGGGCCATGTTTAGCTAAGGCCATGTTGAAATTTGGCGTTACATCTCTTCGCTCTGCCATGAGCTTTTGGTCGTGGCAAATGCCTGCAGCTGACAAGAGCAGTGAAAGGAGATGCGAAAAGCAGCGGGGATGCCCAGGGACCATTCCCTCCCTCAGCAGCTACCCACAGGCCCGTGACCTTGAGGAAGCTGTGATCTGTTTATAAAACTTGGTTCAGATGGCATGCACCTTTGCAATGAGAGCATGAGGAGGACGTTCTGCCTGGCATGAGCCACCAACATCACAGCACGGGAAGGAAAGGGCCAGGATGAGCCAGAGGACTTCAGGCACTTCCCCAAGATGTTGGCAGAGCATTTCAGGGGAGGCAGGAAGAGCAGCAGGAGGGAGAGGGGCCAGGGCTTCCAAGCAGAGGGCCTGGAGGGTAAGGCTGATGGCCCAGCAGACGTGCCCCATAACGTGCTGGAAACTGCTGTTCTATTAATAATCACATTGTTTCAGCAAACTCTCAACCTAGGGAGACTGCACTGAATCAGCAGTTTCTTTTCTTTTTTTCTTTCTTGATTTAGTAACCCTGATTGCACAATCAGAGTCAATCTACTGCTACAGTAGGTGATGGTGCAGTGAGAAATGAAAGACAGCAGAAAGCAGGGTGGGGGCAGCAGCAGCCAGCGCACCCAAAGGCTGAGCAAGCATGTCACTACATGTTCTCTGATGTCCGTGGCATGGCTGAGAGCCCCGGCGCCACATGCACAGGGAAATCTTTGTTTACAAAGGCTGACATCTGTATGGAAACACACCATGATGCTCCCAGACAGCCAGATGCTCACCTGGCTGATGGCAATGTGGCAGCACGTGGAGCTGCACGGGGCTACATCAACTAGAAATAAAGGCAGAATTAAGTTTGACCAGCTGGGTAGGGAACCACAGCTGGAGGGCCAAGTTGGGTGGAATCATGACTTTGCTGTTGACCTTCTCAAAATAGCTAAGTGGAGAATTGGACTTTGAACCCTGAAGCAGCACAGATCAGGGCTGTCAAAATCGAGGGTCTCTACTGCTTCTTTTGCACCCATGCCACCTGGGCCATTGAGAATGGCATGACCATGAGAGGTGCGAAAACACACCCCTGAGCTTCTTTCTCAGGGAAGGAGGGCACAAAGATCTTATTCCACCTGTTGCCTTGTAGAAGGGCTTTTGAAAACTACAGCTGTCAGCATCTTTTTAATATTTTTGAAGTAAAATGGATATGCCTAGAAGTGTTGTTAAAAGCGTCTCTGCTGTAAATCTGCTCTCTGTGTGCACCTGAACCACATCCACCCCTATAAACATCCACTTGGCAACACAAGTGTTATCACGCTCAGCTCATCACCCAGCCCAGCAAGAGTAGGTGGCATCAGGCTTGCACAGAGTGGTCAGCTGAACTGCCCAAACCATTAGAAACGGGCTGGATATGAGCCCTTACCCCAGTCGGGAGGTGATGCCATGAAGGGAGGGGATGCACAGGTAGTTACGATGGCTCAGCTGATCGGCAGTAACTTCTCGAGCTATCCTAATTCAAGGAGGTATCTGAGACTTTCATAATAAACTAAAGTATCCCAATTCCTTCACAGTTTGTACAGAATATATGATAATGGAGGACTCCTCTTCCTCCCTGCTGGTGCTAAACCAAGTCACAGCTGCACAAGTACGTTTGAAAGGAGAACACAGAAGTGGATTTAAAAATCCCCACATATTTTTGGTTTAAGCCTTTAAGAGATCAGGTGCAGAACAGAGAGCTTCATTCTGCACTGGGCCATCACGGTGTGGATTTCCAGCTCATGTGTACCTGAACCTTACGCCGCATTTTCTTCCATGGCCATGCAAAACAGCGAGGACCCAGCAGCCCCGTGGATGAGCACAGACCTACAGCCTGGAAGAAGACCATGTGATGGGGACTTCCCTGTCCCTCGGAGAGGGCAGCACGTGGCAGCGGCAGCATGGGTGTGGAGGGCTCTGCCCAGCACCTACCGACGGCTCTCGCCTGCGGGCTTGGGTGAGTCACTTCACTTTGTGAAATCAAAATCAACCTCAGCACAAATGAAGATGCCAAAACACCAAATGCCACAGAGAGGTCTGCAGGGGTGGGTTCTACAGAACGTAAGCAAAGAAGTGGTGAGGTGGTAGGAATTGTGTCTATGGGTGTGGAAAACGGGTCAGGGAGAAAGCAGGGGATGGAGAGAGTCTCGGCAAGGAGACGGCAAGTCTCTCTTCTTCATTACCTCCCAAACCCATTTGGGCTTCAGCATCCCCTACCCCACCATCATTTGCTTGTCTTTCAACTCCTCCTGATTCTTTCCTTCCTTCCACTTTGGTCATGCACCATCACTAAATCGTCATCTTGGTGCAAGTTAATGTGCTTTTCGCTACCATGCAGTGTTTCACCTCCCCTCCCAGGGGACAGACCTCTAAGCTAACTTTGAAACTGAGGTCTTCTTGGCTACATAAGGAGGTTTAACTTGTGTTAGGAGCACAATGGCCACCTCCTGCCCAACCCCACTAAAGTGCAGAGATGTTGAATAACTCAAAGTTGAACCTCTTGCAGGATCCTGCCTAAGGCTTTGGACACAGTGTCCCCAAATGAGCACACAAGAGCAGCTGAACATCTTAGCTGTGGGATTTTTTGAGGAACTGTTTGAATTACCACATCAGTGTTCTCACAAGTCTATAAAAACTGAGCAGATAGGAAAAGCATATCAGAAAGCATATCAAATCAGGAGGCAGATAGGAAGTCCCTTCAGTTCTTTCTTGTCCATAGTCTGACAAGGCTTTAAGTTAGCCACAAGAAATTTGTCATGACCATTAAAGACAAATGGGAAGATGGAAATTCAAGTGATATGAACACTTTCAGTATTTCAGACAAGATTGGGTTTGCCTCAGCTGCTACTACAACCTTTCAGATAAGTGGTAAGGTTTCTTTTTATTAAATGGTTTGATATGGATTTCATCTGGTCTATGAAGAAAGCAGGGCATAGAAATGAAATATTGTATATATACTGCATATTAAATGCTTTTTACAGTGATTTTGCTACTAAATTAACTGACCATTTAAAAAGAGAAGTATGTGAAATTGTCCTTTCTAGCCCAAAGCTGATGCTGAGGATCAGAAAAAAAATAGTTCTTTTCCTGTTTTAGAAAATGCTTAATTTCACTGGGCAAAACTTTCATGTCTTAATAGTTAAGATACTGAAATCACCAGATCCAATAAAAAATGTAAATTTATGAATTTTTAGCTGAGTATAAATACTTTACTGCTGACTAAACCATTCTATTGTAAAACTAATTAAATCATTGTACCCTTTTAAAGCTAAGACTTTAAACTCCTGATTACACTACTTTGAAAAAAACTCAATTAATGGTAACTTACTGAATGTCTGAAGTAGTTATTAATGCTTCTGCAATACTTTTTTCTCTCTAAAGGCCAAAATTTGACAAAAAGTACTTTATTTCTTTTACACTCGCTGGTGACAATTTATTTTAAATGTTATGACTCGTTTTAATTTGTTCTGCAGCTTAGTTTATTATTGATTTTTCATTTGTTTTGATGTATACATGCTTCGCAGTGGGAATCGCATGTATGCGGCACTCTGGATGGAGAGGGTATGTGCTTTGAGCAACCCTCTTTGAATGACAGCCTGGGACAACTAAAAGCACTGGAAACAGGGAATTTATTCATGCAGAAAGGGCAGACCCACCACATTCATACTGTTACAGGCTGGATTAAGTCTTGATGGAAGTGAGCTGGTTAATTTGGTGTGGGAAGAGACGGTCAAGTGTGAGTTGTAGTGCAAAGCCCACATGAGAGGAAGGCACCCTGCCTTGCCTGCAGGACCTGGCAGTCTTGCAGAGGAACCGCACCGCTCCCCGTCACTGCTAATTTATTGTGGCCAAGCCTGAAATGGCTGGAAGTGAGCAGAGTTTGTAGCGGGAGAGATATGAGAGGATGTCTACCCTACTTCTGTTGGTTTTTAGAGCCTCGAATCCAAAGAAAGCCATCCACATGCTGTGCTCGGGCAGCTCTCGGCATCTACCTGCTGCTACTGACGGCTGGCCAGGGGCTGCTGGTGTACAAAGGTAACGTTGCAACCTTATTGTGAGTTTGACATCAAAAGACAGCTTTGCTGGGTGCTCTCAGGGGGAATGGGCGAGCAGGGATGAGAAGGCAGATAGGAAACCTCTGAGGGAGCACAGACACTCCTCCGTGCACTGCAAGTCAAAGCAGTTGCTGCAGGAAACCATCCCCCTCCACCCCATATATGTGCTTTGCATTTGCACAAGCGCTCCTGGCTGCACTCCTGGCTGCAGCAGGGACCGGCACGTGAAAACCACCTCCTCGGGTCAAACAGTGGTGGTGTTTAACCCCAGGTGTCCTCCACAGATGCTGAGGAGCTGCTCTGCTGAACACGCATTTCCCAGGCAGATCGGGCAGGGAATATTCACTGCCATGGGCCTTTTGTTTCCTCAGTGTTTAAGATGCAGAGAGAGATAATGAAATTTCAAGAACAAAATACCTCCTATATAGAAGAGATTCTGGAAAGCTCCTTTGCCAACAAACTGCTTTTGGAGAGAAGCTCTACAGGGAAGTACGTGGGACGTGAAGAAAACTGGAGGAGAAACTTAGAAGAGGAAATCACCATAATTAAAAGCAGCAATGCAAAGCTGATGATACTGATGAACAACATCACTCGTTTTGCAGGTATGGCTCCATTTCTCCATGCTGGCTGTACAGTGGTTCCTCTCCACCACTGGCAAAGCTGAGCCAAAAACCTAGTTCAGATGAAAAAATAGTTAGGGCAAGATTTGGTCTTCCCATCAGTTAGTGATGCCCCAGTGTCCAGGGTTGGGTGCTGGCTCCGGATGCCTTGCCTGAGGAGCTGGATACACCTGGAGAAGCTGGAGCACAGCCCCGTGCAGCCCCCATGGATCCCACTGCAGCTGCACACGTAGCTCTGGGCTGCTCTCCCCTCCTGTAACTTGTAGACTTTGGCTCCAGGTGCCCTCCAAAAGGATGGTGTCTTCAGCCCAGACCTCAAGCCTATCAACCCTGTACTGGTATGCCCCTCAATGAGTGCTGACTACTGAAAAATATCCATTAAAAATTTATTTCAGGGCCTCCTGGACGCAAAGGAGATCCTGGTCCACCAGGTATGTTGGTAAATGAGCCATAAGCAACCTTTCCTCTTTTCCTCTTTCTCTTTTTTCCCCTAAAATACCTGAAGTGAGGATTTGGGATTTCAGTCTCTAGACTCAGATCCTACCTAATGTGCAGACACCCAGTACCGTGGCCATGAGACCTGCTGCACATTTTGACTGATCCTCTGAGAGCCACGGCTTGCCAAGTGCTCCCACAGAGGGCAGTGACCACCATGGAGGAGCATTTTGGCTCTACTTCCTCAGTGCTACCCCACCAGAAAAGCTCAGGGGTGATGGAGGAACTGTACCTGGTCATTAGCTGCAATTACTATCCCAAATCCCCTTGTAAGACAGGACAGGACCAGTGAGGGGGATGAATCATCTACACAGAGTTGATGTGCATCCCACAACCAGTGGATAGCTGAGCTTTCTGTCCCAGACATAGCAGGTCCTGCTGCCTAACTCACTCCAAGACAACTCAAGGAGACCTCTCTAATCCCTGCTCTAGAGGGCCCCAGCTGAACAGTGTGTGGAATAAAGAGTGACAGATTTGGGACCTTGCCCACCCTGTCTGGGGAAACAACCACACAGACTTGGGAATGAGCTGGGTGCAAGCAATCCCCTCCACAGTTATGCATAAGATGCTGCCCTGGGTACCTGGGGGTTTTGGGTGGAAGTACACCCACTGCAGGAGATAAATGTCTCCAGACTGTAAGGATGCAGCAAGTCCTGATCTAATGTTGGCTCCACTTCATGCAGAGGTTGGACTAGGCAATGTCCAGAGACACCAGAGTTGTTATGATCCTATAATGATGATCTAAGATGCAACCTTTGTTATGTCAGGTCTGTATCTCATCCATCCCTAGTTCTTGGCTACACTGACGAGCTTTTCTGAAGAAAAAAAAATTAATGCATTTTTAAAAAATAATGTTTTCATATCTTCCTGGCTGCACTTGCAGCATTGAAAGAGCACATCCCACCAAGCACTGTTATTATACATCAGAGCCCAATAGTTCAGTGCATTTTCCAGAAAGATTTCCTCAAAGGTCCCCACAAGTTGGGCTTGGCTGGAGGACAGCTGGTCCCTGCCCAGCCATGCACTCAGCTGAGCTCCACGGACTTTACTCAGAGGGTTATGCTGGTCCCTGCCAGCTGAAGATTGGCCTCAGTGGTGACCGAAGGCACGTGCATAAAGGATGATTAAAAAATTCACCTCTTCTTCTTGGCCATTACTGCAAATAGATGATGTGTGTCAGCTGATATATGTATTTTACGTCTCAGGGCTACAGGGACCACCGGGGAGAAAGGGAGAACAAGGAATCCAAGGTAAGGCTTTTTTGACATCTGAATTACTTCTGTGGATGAACATAAAGTGTCTTTATGGATGATTTTATGGGCAATCTTCTCCTCAGTCAAGGTGTAAGTTAGTAGGAACGTCATTGGATTTGAAGGAAATAAGCCTATGTAAAACTAATGTGAACAAAAGCAAAACTTAGCTGGAAAAATTCTTACTGTAACAGTAAACGTGCACTGGTCACAGTGGTCTATTGCCCACTGTCCCCAGCACCACTCTGAAGTCCACAGAGGGCAGAGCCTGGCTCATGCCCAGAGCTGAGCTGGGTGGCCTGTTGTTGGTGTTCACTAGACACGACACCCGATGAAGCATCAGAAAAGTGGTGGTGTTGTTGCAGGCATGCATGGACTGCAGGGCGCGAAGGGGAGTAAAGGAGATACTGGTCCTGCTGGCCCGAGTGGTGAACCAGGAGCGAGAGGAGAAAAAGGAGAGATGGGGCTTGCAGGTAAGACTTCTTCACTATCTCAACATTTTTAGGATTCTCTCATGTATTTCTGTTCATAGGTCAAATATTTCATAAAAATCCAGCTTGCCAATCAATGAGGGAGCTGGATGAACAGGACACTTGCCCTGATCTGCAGGGATTTCATTTCATGCCATGCTCCAGCAAAGCTCACAAAGGAGGGCTGGGGAAGAGGACGTGCAAAATGTTGACTCTGCACCATGGAAGTCTCTTTATAGAGCGACCTTTATCTAATGAAAGCCACAGGTATTCAATTATCAGCCTATGCCAGGTTAAAGCAGCGATGTTTGCAGTAGGATTTTCATGGTATTAAATAATACAATATAATTTATATTCACAAGCATGTGGATGTTAGTCCTCACTATAGTAAAACTTATTTCTGAGAATTTTATATCCTAGATAAGCCTGACTTTTGTATATCTGAAGTAGAAGAATTATGCACTGTGTTTCTCCTGTGTAACGTGAATTAGTGGGTATCTCCTGGAGAGCTGTTTTTCAGTGGTCTCACAAGTGCTGCACCCAGAGAGGAAAAGACGAAAGCGGGACAGCAAAAGAAAGCAGATGTGTATGGTGCAGACCGGGGAGGACGGTTGGACAGGTTGATTAGAGTTTCCTCAGATCTTCCACCAGATCCTACATGCTCCAGTGTGCTCATTAGCACAAGTTGCTCCAGAAGAGAAAAGTGAAAGTAGGAATACAGAAAGACAAGGACTTTGGGATAATTCTGGAGCAGAAAGATGAAGGAGATGTCAGTCTTTAAATGAGGAACTTTAAAGTAATTCAGCTGTTTTGGAGCATGCTGATCACCTGTTCAGAGAAGAGAAGGCTAAGGGGAGATGTGGCAATTCCCTGGAAGGGGTAGGAATAGTTTGGGGAACAGACCGGGTCTATCCCTAGTGGTAGGGATAGTTTGAGGAATAGACTGGGCAGGTGTCATGGCACCACTGCAGGACTTTAACAGCACGTCAGACAAACATCTGGCCAGACAGTCTGGCAGACCTGGAGTTGGCTCAGACAGACTTTTGAGGTGCCATCCAGCCCTGTCCTCCTACAGCTTTATGGGAATGCCACTGAACAGTAAAAGCAGGTGTGAGGCCAAGCTCTGCTACTGGTGCAGCTAAACGGAGGTGCTCCACTGACTGCAGACACAATTTAATTTATACATGTGTGCTGTGCTGTTTCATAGGTCTTCAAGGACCGAAAGGCGAAATGGGCAGGAAGGGAGACCCCGGGCTCCATGGACCCATGGGTCCTCAGGGACAGAAGGGAGACCCAGGACAGCCAGGTTTCAATGGTAAGTGCAGAGGACACAGCACAGCCCACCATTCAGCACATGCATGCCGTGGTGGAGGGCTGCCCTAGCTGAAGCATTTGGGTAAGTCTCACTAGCACTGATGCTAGGATGTTCTTACAGGTATCAAGGGGGAGCCTGGACATCCTGGGCAGAAAGGAGAGCCAGGTAAGCGGTATAGAAGGTGCAGTTTCTTCTAGAGATATGAGACCGATCTCTTTTAGATGGTGCTTCATGACAAGGAAAACTGCAGCCAGGCTAGATCCCAGCATGGGTAAGAGAAGATGATGATTAGATGAAGAAATCATACCAATGTTTTGCAAACCCATTCCGCAGCCTTGGCTGTCTCATCTGGACCCCACTCACAGTGCAGCAGAATGAGAGGGAAAGAAAAGTCCTCTACCATGGAGGGCCATGTCCTCCTTCCTGACATGTGTCCACACACAAGGGCAGAAATTGGCTGCTCTTTTAGGAAAGCACTTGTGCCTCTCAAGGCTGACAGTCTGCAAGGACCTGGGTCCATACAGCCTTTCACTCCAGACCATCACTCACTGCACCGCTAAGATCAGTGCTGCCAGGGAAGGATTGCAGTTTGGAGAGACCCAGCGTTTGTTTTGCCCTCATGGAGTCAACTCAATCCGCACAGTGCAGAAGCTGGTGATTGAGCTATCATTCTTTTTTCTCCTTCATATGCTGTGTTGCATTTCACATGTGCTGCTTTTGCTCAACCTCAAGGCATCACCGGACAACTGGGACCCATGGGAGTTCCTGGCCTCGATGGCAGACCTGGTCAGAAAGGGGAGAAGGGGAATCCTGGACCCAGTGGTAATCCAGGTACAGCGCTACCCAAACCTGTAACTCATTGACCTCCTACTCTGGCCTCACTTTGTGTGATGGCTTCACCCTTACTGATTTATTTTTAATTTTAGGAACACCAGGCACTGCAGGACTCAGAGGTGAAAAGGGAGAGAGAGGAGAAATAGGTAAAGGAGAATAAAACAGGTTTGAGGTCAACAACAGGCGTTATGCAGACACTGGAAAGGGATCTGCAACAGCAAGGAGATTTGTTGAGTCCTGTTCTTGGAGCTCCAAAGCATCCCAGGATGCCATGGTGGGCCTGGGCCTCTGCCAGACTGCTGGGGGGGGGTGGGAGCTACTCACTGGAGGGGTTGTTTCAACCGTCTGCAACGTGCATGAGGAGGTGATGTTGCCTGCATTTTTTTACAAGTAGAAAACACACAAACAAAGCAGCAGTTTTAAGATGAACCAAACAATCACGTCCCTACCCTGGAGCTAAAGACAAATTTTACAGACTGTAAATTTGATGGGGAAGGTTATTCACTAGCGAGCGTCTGTCCTGGCATCCTCTGTAGCACTGCAGGAAGAGATATCTTCAGAGGCCAACTTGGACCGCATAACTTAGGTCTTTTCTTTGACTGAAGAAGGCCACCTTTCTGTCCCAGGCACTCAAATGATAGGGTGACGTTCTGAGGTACAGGCCTATTCTGGTGTATTTCTTTTGAATCAACCTTTTTAACCTTGAATTTATATAGTGCATGCAACCTTTTGTCTCCATCAGGAGGTGACAAAAGTCCAAGTGCTTCACCCTTCTGCATTCATTGATACCTGGATGATATATGTCTGATGAACCTAAATTTACGTGTCTAGTCTCTCTATACAGTCATTAAAGACCTGACTGGAGTGTGGTCTATCGCATCAGTGGAGTTTAGGATATGAAACAAATGACCAGAAATAAGACACCCACTTCAGAAATAGAAGCCTATAGTGTAGATAGCTAAACTAGACGCATTGAAATCTATCATAAATATTAGTTTGCCTAAGCTTTTAAAAATGTGTAGATATGTGTCTTATAAATTTTTGTTTGTTTGTTTTGATGATCTTAGGTTTTCCAGGGCAAAAGGGAACAAAGGGAGACCAGGGCCTGCCAGGTAAACCCTTGTTTGACAGCATGACTTATTCTGATGATGCAAAGCACTTTAAATGACATGTTCCACTTCTCTGCCTCAATGTGAAATGCTCATCACCCTCTTTCCTTGGGAAGAGACAAAGGCAATGATGTTCTTGCTTTCCACTCAGGCATCCAAGGTATAACTGGTGAAAAAGGAAGCAAGGGTGATTATGGCAGTCGTGGTCAAAAAGGAGAACCGGGACTAAAAGGCACAAAGGGAGACCGCGGATTCACTGGTAAGGCTGTTTGCCACGGGGTCTGTGAAGCTGATGTTCATTTGAGTTTGGGATTATACGTCACAGACCGGCACAAGCTGCTCTGGGGCATGTTTACAGAGCATGTTTGGAGGAACTCAACAGACAGGTCAGTCTTCCCAGAAAATGGATGTGCAGAGTGTCACATTTACACCTTGGGAGCTGTGCTAAAAGACATGCAAATAAACAGATACATTAGATTTTATCAAATGCCCAATCTCACAGAAAACCGGAACAATCCATGCTCCTCTTTGCTTTGTACAGAGACGTCTTGCAGGATACTATGACATGACAGGCAGGAGCACAGAACCAGAAACACCAGGGCTATTTAACTATGCCTCTGTAATTATAGGACACAAAACCAGACAGTTCAAAAGTCATTACAGCGACTCCCCATTCTTATTCCACTCTCTTCCAATCACAGAATGCTTCCAAAAACCCTAAGACCTGTAGTAAAGGAAAAAACAAACAACCCCCTCCCCCCCAAAAAAAAGCAGTTACAACAGGCCATGGGAAGCAACCAGTGCTCCAATGCTTTTCCTTTTATTGTTCACACATAACAGTATGACAGTTCTCGGAAATAAAATAAACTAGATCCTATGTGGGACTCCTCCATGCACTCCTCTTCTGGAACTTTGTCTCTGGAGGAGGGGAAAAGTGTAACTGGGGTGACCCCAGGTTAGGGACCGCTCTCTGGGTGGATCTCATATCCTGGTCCCCAGAAGGAGACAGCAATATGTGCTTTGTGGACGTAGCTTTTGGGGGAAGAGCTCATTGGGTTTTTTCAAACACCCCTGCTCTCAAGGCCAAGATGGTACACAGAAATGTGAAGGACTGTTGGCAGTGGCCTTCTGCTGTCCCGTGGCAGCACCTGGCCAGCAAACCCCATGATGGAGATCTTCCTCCGAGTACTTTGGGAGATACCACACCTGCTTCTGGAGAGCCCAAAGGCTATCAGAGATGTCATTTTACAGGTAGTAAAGGGAACAAGATACATTTCCCACAAGTGAGTGGATGGGCTTTTGCAAGTGGCCCCTTTCTTGGGTCACATGTAAGAAAGACTTTGCTGTATGTTATCCTACTTCTCTTGCTACATTTCTTTTACATACTCTTAGTCACTTTGGGGGGTCCATTCCACAAGGGGACCAAGGCCTCATACTTGACTCACCCAATTAATCAGAAAAAGTTAATAACTGGATTTTCTTCCAAACAGCTGTCAAATATTTGTTTTTTAAATTTGGAACAGGTTCCCCAGGAACGAAAGGGAGCAAAGGTGAAAAGGGAGAAGGTACTGCACTTTTATTTCTTCTTCTCTCACTTGCCTTCTGGCATCAAAGCTACCTGACATCGGGACCATTGTGCCCCCTGTGCACACTGGTTAACCTGCAGCACAGCTACCAGAATCAAGGGGTCCATGTGCTGAGCTGCAGCCTGGTGTCTCCAGACCCAGGAGAGGACCCTAAGTTGTTCAGATTTGAACTACCAGTAACTTCTGGTAGCTTCTGGTCCCACTCTTGCTACAGCTGTGGAGATGGGAACATTCACCCAGTTTGGGTGGTCACTGCTTCCACCTTTCAATGTGCTTTTTTCCTCATGCCTGTATGACCAATACAGTTATTTTCTTCTCCTCTGACGTTTCAGGCAACTTCAATCATTTTATTCGAATCGCAGAAGGGGGAAGGAGGGGCCGTGTGGAAATCTTTTACCAAGGGTCCTGGGGAACAATATGTGATGATGGCTGGGGCAACCAAGATGGCAGTGTGGTTTGCCGAATGCTGGGATACAGCCGTGTGGTCTCCACCTTCACAGCAAGACCAGGTGAGTCCACAACAGCCTTCCACCTGCCCAGGCAGAGGGGTGCGTTAGCTGCCTGGCATGGGAGGTTACACACACCCAGAAAGCACCACAGCAAAGTCCTCTACACGAGCAGCAGGAGAGCAAAGAATATCTGGTCAAAGGGGTAGCTTGTTCCCCTTCAGATGAGGGAGCTGCACATCAAGTGCTGCTTGAACTGTGCTCAAAGGCTTGATTTCCAGCAAGCCAACCATGCAACCCAACATATGCCTGCTTTCCACAGGGGTCTCTTTAGAAAAAAATGCATATTCCTTTTTCTTTTGTCCAACAGTTTTTTTGTTTATTTCTTTCTTTCATTTGTCTTCCAAAGGCACTGGACAAATTTGGCTTGATGATGTGAATTGCAGCGGGAATGAATATTCAATTTTTGACTGTCCAAAGCCCAAGTGGGGTGTGAACAACTGCTCCCACAACGAGGACGCTGGGGTGGAGTGCGCTTGATGGGACACAGAAGCTGCCATGGGAGCTGCTGCCCCCCTCTGCTCTCTACAGGGCTCTTGATCATAACATGAACCCAATTTCATCAGGCTGTACTTATAGTCTCTTTATCAGGTCATAAAAATATTGACAGAGAAAGCTGAATTTTCCATAAATCAATAATGGTTGCAAGACCCACAGGTAACCTGAAACATCCCATCTGTCATGAAACAACTGGAGCTCAGGCACATGAGCCACTTCACAGCTTTTTCAGCTACCTAACAGCTCATCCGCAGTAGCTCACACATGTGTGACCTCTATGTCCACAGTGGAGGAGAGATGGTCCACTTTAGCTTAACTGCAGAAAGAGAGAACAGGATAAGCGTGCAGAAACAGGCAGCTACTGCAGCTCAGCTGGCTAGTCCATCTTCATCACAGTACAATTGTGAATCTGAGCCTAAACCCCCCCAGTGAAGTGCATACACCCAAGACAGGAGATGCTCAGATATCATATGTGGGATTCAAATATAAATGTTCTCCAGAAATGATCCTGATCACAGGTTAAAGTGCAAAAATAAGTGCTTGGGATCTAGGTGCTGCACTATCCCGGTTTAGCACAGACCTTGACCTTGGCCAAGTCTTCTGCCTTGTCTGTCAGTGTTTCCTAACCTGTCTCTGGCAGCAACACCCCTTACCTTATCTGGTGTATAAAGCTAAGCGTTTCATACCTTTAGAAATTACATGCTCCAGTAAAGCAAAGGGATGAAAAATAAAAGCAATAGTGGGGAAGTATCAGCTAATTAAAATTCCAGAGCAAAAATGCAGACCCTAAACCAAAGTCTTCTACCTTAATTGAAAATCTTAGGTGTCTGAGATAATAACTGAAAGGTTTCTCTTTCTTAAGACATAAGTCTTCCCCTTTTCCACCAGCACTGGGCATTCAGCAGGTAACAAAAAGCCTGTCTACATGTAGCTTTGCACAACACAACAATCTGCTTTTCTTTCATTTTATTTCAAATGTCAGAAATACATGTAAGCAACCCCACATCTCTGCCTTAATGTGAGTCATACTTGCATTTGTCTACACAGCTTTGAAACTTGTTTTTAGTGCTTAGAAATTCAGATATAATTGGAAAAACTGAGCAGTGCTGGCAAGAGCAGCAGGTGATGGGCCATCCAGGACCTCAGGAAAGAAGTCTGGAAAACCCTAAGAGTTTTCCAGTATCCACTCTGATGCCTTTGACAGCAGGAAAAGGAAGAGAGCCACTTACCACTCCTGGTTCTGGTTTAGAGGAGGCAAGGAGCTCCTGCCACAAACCATGGGAGAAACCTGATGAATGACAACTATTTCAGAGCTGGTGGAAAAGCACAGTGTCTCATGTTCATGAGAAGAGACAAAAACTTTCTCTTCTGGTAGGGACCCCCACCAGCATGCTGAGTACTGGCACTTGGGCTAACACAACTTTCTGCAGGGCTTCCATGGACAGTGCTGAGCCTGCACAGGTTTCCTTCATTTTTTTTTTTCTTTTTTTTTTTTCTTTTTTTTTTCTTTTTTTTTTTCTTTTTTTGCATGGCAGTATGTAAATAAAGCATTTTCACTGTTAGGAAATAAAGGATTTACAAGTTATATTCATGTCTTGATACATCAACAGGTGCTGCTTACACTCTCATTTTCTCACTTTCCTTGCTAATGGAGTATGTTCCTCACCATTTTTCAGGCTAAATGTTGAGACATTTGATTTTTTCATCAGGAAAAACTGCCATAGAAGGGAAAGTCACCATGTCCGCAGTGGTGATCCTTTGGTTGGACTTAAATCCCCATAAATCTCCTTTTTGGAGAATGGGCATCCAGAAAATAGCAGTCATTTCAGGACTAAGGTCAGGACACTAGGGGTTGGATCTGCATGCCTAGGGCAAAGGATACCATAGTCCAGCTTGTCTGCTCCTAAGCACAGTAGGAACAGGTTGAACCCAAGCTACAGTTAACAGTGTGACCAGAAACCAGAGCATGACATGCTTAACCTACTCCCCTGCCACCTCTTCACCTCGCAGTGCAGATGTAAGATTTGCAAAATCTGGAGTCAGAGGGATTTCCTAGCAGCCCGGGAGAGACCATGCTGACACTGAAGAATGCAGTGCCAAGTACAAAAAATATCATTTATCTTGCAGGGACTAAAGGAGGAAGGAGGTTGTGGGTGATGGAGGGAGCGCCTATGCTTAAGGACTCCCGGGGAGCCCTGTGGAAGGGCTCGAGGTGGCTCAGGCATGCACACAACTGGGCTGATAGCTGCAGGGACAACCACTGCTGAATGGGAATGGGCCAAAGCATGCAGCTGCCTGCAGCATTGGCATAGCCCCCTCTGTTTAGCAGGGATGCAAGAACCAGTAGAGAAATGCCCACACCAGTACAGTTCATTCTGGTCTGGGAAGGGAAACAGGGGACTCAGGACCAGGACATGTGTTAATATTACTGTGCTGGCAAAACCAGAGCTTGGCAGGGACACAAATGCTGCCTTCATAAAACTACTCTGTGTGCCTGGTCCGGAGAGGGAAGCCCAGCCAGCTGGGACGAGAGCTGCAGGCACAAAGCTCACACAGGAATTAGAAACGCCACCTTTTCTGCCTGCTAAAGCAGAGCATGTCTGAACTGCAAGAGAAGAACCAAGCCCAGTGCAGGGTGTTCCATGTGCAAGAAATAGCATCCATTGGAGGGGACCACTGTGGCCAACTTGTGGAGCCTGTGATTTCACACTCCCTAGCTATGTCAGTCCTGACAGAGCTTCTTGGAGAGCGTTGTCCAGCTGTGAATAAACAGCAGAGGATGCCGGATGGTGGCAGCACAATTTACATCTGATCTTCTTCTGTCCAAACCAGGGTGAAACCAGAAAGAAGTCACTAATGTGGTCATTGAAGCAGGAGGAAATTCTTCCCAGTTCCCATAAGAGGTAGATAAGCCAAAGGAGTCGTGGAGGCTGGGAGGCTGTTAGGGGCTGCAGGTTCACTTCCTGCAAGAGCCAGAAATAAAATTTTGAAGTTCAACTTTAGCAGATGCAGATGTTCACTCTAAATTCCACACTTTCAATCCAAATGGCAGCTATCTGTGGCAGCTCCCCACCTGATATAAGTTGCCATACTCACTGCTATGTTGTGTTTCGGCGGAGGTAAGAAAAGCCCTGATTTAATTCCAAAAAGCAACAAAGCCCCCTGATTTCTTTCAGAACAACTGAAAAAAAAAAAAACAAACCACAACCTAGCATGGGGACAGCCGGGCCCAAATTATCCTGATATCAATTCTTGTGTCAAATAAACGTTTCCCAGCGAGGGCAACGGCTGGACATACAGCTAACGGGGATGCCACCGGTGCGGTGGGACCTGCGGGATGAGCCCCGGGTACGTCCCCAGCAACCCCACAGTGCTGAACTACCGGGGCCTCCCCACTGCGATCTCCACGGACGGCGTGTTATTTATTAAAAATGCTCCTTCCCGACACTAAGGG